AAAACAAACAAGATACTGCAGAATCCCAATTACATTTCCTCACACAAGGTCAGGGCATTGTTAAAGAATACATCTCACAATTCAGATGGCTGGCATCAGATACTTCATGGAATGAAGGTGCCCTAAAGTATCAATACAGGATCGGTTTATCTGATTATGTACAAGATAAACTCGCTAGAATTGGGATACCTGATACTCTCAAAGAATTATTTAATGTAACCATCTGGTTGGACCACAGGTTGCGAGAAAGACGCAAAGAGAGGAGCTCTTCCTTGAATACCAGCTAACCTCCTGCTTCCAATCACCCACATATTACAACTTCCCCTACTTCCTCCTCTTCATAAGCGTGAACCAATGGACTACTGTCAGAGGCTCTATATCTACAGAAAAGAGACTCATAAAAATGAATCTTAACCTCTGCAGGTATTGTGCTTCAAAAGAACATCTATTTGACACTTGTCCTCTACTAAAGGATTCTGAAAGAGGAAAAGGAAACTCAAATACAATATCTTTAATACATCTTCTAAACCAATTCCTCGTTGTATTCTACCTATCATTCTACAGTGGGATCAAGAACTTATTCAAACAGAAGCTATGATTGATTCAGGTGCTGGTGGAACTGTAAAAGATCTTTCAACATCCTTATGGACTATTAATGAATCTGCCTGTTCCTGATCGTCGATAGAAATCCATTTCTATGGATTTTATTGTTCATCTACCTATGTCTCAAAAACAAACCACTTTTCTTGTGGTTGTGGATCGTTTCACTAAAATGGCAAATTTTATTCCAATTTCAAAAATTCCTTCTTCACTCGAATTATCCAAATTGTTTATCTCAAACATTGTAAGGCTTCATGGGTTACCTGATGATATTATCTCAGATCGAGGATCACAGTTCATATCTAAGTTCTGGAAAGAATTTGTGTAAGAGTCTTGGATTTGTAAATAAATTCTCCTCTTCATATCATCCTCGGACAAATGGGCAAACAGAGAGTGCATCAATGTCTGGAACAGTATCTTAGATGTTTCAGTACCCATCTTTAAGATGATTGGTCAGCCTGGTTATCGTTGGCTGAATTTGCTTACAATAACTCTCTACATTCAACCACAACGATGACACCCTTTTACTCCAATTATGGGTTTCATCCAACTTCTCTCCCTCCTGATCTCATTTGTAGTTCCAATCCCTCTGTAATTTT